CAACAACGGCCACGCTGGATTGTAAATGCGGTAGCTGCATGACTTTGGTGAGAAAGCTTGTGGTTTTGGAGTTCCGCGAGATCGGTGCAGCACAGCTGCGGTTGAAGCTAGCTGGCTGACTAATGTTGATCTGCCGGTGTTCCTTCAGGTAATCTGGATCTTTAAAAGTCTTATCACACATAGCACATTCAATCCTCCTAATTATTTACGGAAGTGAATGGGAAAGCTGTATGTTTGTATGTATGTGTTCCCAGCATGTTGCAGTGCTCAAAGAATATAACCCCTGTCACCACTATGTGAGTCTTCATGCCAACATATGACAACTTTCTAGGACAGTGGAGGAGAGAGAAGGTGAATGAACTGTTGGCGGGTCTGAAGAAACAGCAGTCTGTATTTACTCACAGCCAAGACATCAGTGATGCTGCAGTGAAAGCTAGGTACCTCATCGCTAATGAAATAGCATCAAAACTATTTATTGTGGGTGTATTTTTAAGGCATCGGACATAGTGTACCCTGAAAATCGCCAGGCGTTTGCAAATATCAGCCTGACAAGAAACACAGTTGCCAACAGGATTTTTGATCTTTCAGAGGATTTGGACAGCCAGTTGAAGCAAAAAGTAAAGTTATTTATTGTGTTTTCAGTTGCAATTGATGAAGGCATGGACATTACAGATGTTGCACAACTGGCAATTTTCATCCGCGGAGTTGATGACACATTGACCGTTACAGAGGAGTTCGTGGAGTTGGTGCCGATGACAGATACAACGACCGCAGCTGCTATTTTCACCGCACTCGTCGGCGCACTGGACAGGGTTGGAGTGGACTAGTCCCACGGTGTCAGCCTGGCTACAGATGGTGCGCCCTCAATGATCGGGAAAAAAGCAGGCGCCGTAACCAAGTTCAGAGATAAAGTGCAATCTGCAAATGGAGGACGTGATTTTTGGGCTTTTCACTGTATTTTGCACAAGGAAGCTTTGTGTTGCAAGTCATTAAAAATGGATAATGTCATGAAGGTGGTCATCCAAACTGTTAATTTCATCTGTTCCAGAAGTCTCAATCACCCTCAGTTTTTCAGCCTTCTCAGAGAGAAAGACCACATCTATGGCCTGCCATACCACACTGAGGTAAAATGGATGAGCCGAGGTGCTATGCTGAGGCGTTTCTTTGATTTACAAGAAAACATTGAACAGTTCATGGAAGAAAAGGGCAAACCAGTGTTAGAATTTCATTCCGCAGAATTGATGCAGAACTTGCATTTATGGTGGATGTTACAGAGCACCTTAATAACTTGAACAAACAGCTTCAAGGATGCTATAAAGTTGTCACGCAGTATTATGACAGTTATGATTATGATAGTTCTGTGATCTGTTAAACAGTTTTGCAAATCACTGAGGCACTGTGTGTTTGTGTGTTCTTTGTCCTCAGAGTTTTCAAATAACTTCCGGTGTTTTATGAATAATAGCTATGTTATGCTTGTACTATTTTGAACATACTGTCCTGAGGCTCTAGCTTTATTTTTTATGTTGATCGCATTAAAACAAAAAAAAATATCTGAAGTTGTTGTTTTTATGTTATATATACACCATGATTTTACGAGTCCGGCCCACTTGAGAATAGACTTTTTTTCCCATGTGGCCACTGAACTAAAATGAGTTTGACACCCCTGCTCTAAACAAGCCCAGGCCCCCTCTCTTCTACGCCCTATAACACCTGAAACTGCTCCCCAGTTCTTAGCTGCTTTTGCTGCATCTCCTTTAGCGACTTGTAATGAAAGTTTTCCTCACTGCAATAATCCTGATGAGCAACTTGTATGTTTTAATTCTGCTTATACCAACATTATGGACTCAATTGCTCCTCTAAAATGTAGACGGCAAAAATTTAAAACTCAGCCTTGGCTAAATAAGGTCACTCGTGCCGTCAGACAGGAATGCAGGAAAGCAGAACGAAGAAAGATAAGCTCCACGGTCCTTCTGAACCACCTACATGTTCATTCTTTTTCTCTGAATTTAAAGCAGTCTCATTATCCCATCTTACTGATATAATAATGCACATGAAACCAACTATGTGCCCCTTGGGTGTGTTACCTACGCCATTTCTCAGAGATGTGCTGAAGACAGTCGTCCCTAACATCCTCACTATTGTAAATGGCAGTATTTCAAATGGAACTGTCCCTCATTCATTTAAACAAGCTGTTGTCCAGCCGCTTCAAAAAAAATCCTGGTTTGGACCCGTCAGTATTTGGCAATTTTAGACAAATCTCTAAGCTGCCATTTTTGTCTAAGGTTTTTGAGAAAGTTGTCCTCCACCAATTATCCTCATTCTTAGACACACATAATATTCTGGATAAATATCAGTCTGTTTCAGAGCCTTCCACAGCACAGGTATCCGCTCTACTGAAGGTGTTCAATGATGTACTTTTAGCTGCTGACTCTGGAAAAAGTACAGTTTTAATTCTTCGAGACCTGAGTGCAGTATTTGACACTGTCAACAACACAATTCTATAAAACTGTCTAAAGACGTGTCAGCATTCAAGGCTCTGCTTTAAAATGGTTTGCCTCTTATTTGGAGAGCAGATCATACTCTGTGATCCTGGGTAACAAATACTCTTTCCCATCTATACTCACTTGTGGAATACCTCAGGGCTCTATTCTGTGCCCTGTCTTATTCTCCCTATACATGCTCCTATTAGGCTCCATTTTTCAGAAACGCCAGATTTCCTATCACTCTTATGCAGATGATACACAGTTCTACCT